GTAACAGCTGACTCATTTTTATCAGACATCAAACACCACAAGATGGGTAACAGCTGACTCATCTTTATCAGACATCTAACACCACAAGATAGGTAGCAGCTGACTCATCTTTATCAGACATCTAACACCACAAGATGGGTAGCAGCTGACTCATCTTTATCAGACATCTAACACCACAAGATGGGTAGCAGCTGGTAATGTTTCTGCTCAAGGATTTATAATGTCAATGATGAGCTGGTAATGTTTCTGCTTAAGGATTTATAATGTGAATGAGGAGCTGGTAATGTTTCTGCTCAAGGATTTATGTCAATGAGGAGCTGGTAATGTTTCTCCTTAAAGATTTATAATGTGAAAGAGGAACTGGTATTCCTGCTAAAGGATTTATAATGTCAATGAGGAGCTGGTAATGTTTCTGCTTAAGGATTTATAATGTGAATGAGGAGCTGGTAATGTTTCTGCTCAATGATTTATAATGTCAATGAGGAGCTGGTAATGTTTCTGCTCAAGGATTTATAATGTCAATGAGGAGCTGGTAATGTTTCTCCTTAAAGATTTATAATGTGAAAGAGGAACTGGTATTCCTGCTCAAGAATTTATAATGTGAACGAGGATTGGTAATGTTTCTGCTCAAGGACTTATAATATGAAAGAGGAACTGGTATTCCTGCTCAAGAATTTATAATGTGAACGAGGAGCTGGTAATTTTTCTATTTTATCATATCAACAAAATATAAATAAAATCGGGCAATTCAGGTGGGTACAAGTTAACATTTGTATAAATGTTAGTGGTGCAGGTTTTAGTTTTGTTTACACAGATATTCATACACAAGGTTATGTGCTGCATTGAGTTAAGGATGATCTAGCAAGGTTATTCATCACCTGGAAAGTTTAAATATTCCAACCTCAAACGGTATAATTTCCTGAAATTTGGATCTCAAATACTGAATTCATAAATCTTTATAATTCAATCTTTCATTCTTTTTTTTTTAATTTTGATCCAGAATTCTGGTTTTGAATAAACACTTTCTATAAAATAAAAAGACTTCATACAATTTATTATGTAGTAACCTTCTTCTGTCTGAAGAAATTGCTTAAGGAATTATTTTTTTTAAATTATCAGTATAAAATTTTCTCCAGTAAGATGAAAGAAAATAAATTTGCACCTGTACAAGCATCATTAATTTTTTTCTATCTTACAGACTACTGTAGCAACAGCAAATACTAGAGTAAAATTAAAACCTGAAACTTTAAGTATCATAAAGACTGTTAAAAAGTCAAAATGTACAAATCATCCAACAACTTGTTGTTGTTGTTGTTTAAAATAAAGTTAAATAATGAGCTATATAGGCTCTGTCCACTACAGGGAATCAAACCCCAGATTTTTAACATTGTAAGTTGGTAAATTTACCGTTGGCCAAACAGACTAATTCTCTGATGTTTTGTACTGACAGTATATTTAATAAGTTAAATACTTTGTCAACAAAATAGCACCAAAAAATGTCTGAAATGAGTTGTGATAATATCTAACAAGCACAAGTTTTTTATTCATAAAACACTATCATTCTAGAAACAGTGACTTCTGAAACTGTAAATAACTTTAAAAATTTACTGCTTTATCTGTACTAAAATAGGGGGACCTATGTGGTAACTTGTACTTCTAGGTGTCATGGGGGATCTCAGCCATATCTAAGAAAATCCCCAAAAGTTAGGTTGATACGTCAGGATGGTGAATATTTTCATCACAGACATATAAACGTATGGACACAAGTCATTTTATGATACAGATGTAAATAAAGCAAACACCAAAATTTTTCACCCACCAAGAAGGAATTCCAAATGATCTTGTGTGTTAACAATTTCTGCCAGATCATCATAATCAATCTCGGTTTTGTCTTCATTTCGATGATGAGCTTGCTGAGCCAGATAAGTCACAAAGAGTTCCTAACAAAAAAAACAAGCAAATCTCACAAGATGCAAGCAAATCACACAGTAAACAAGTGGCTCCTGATGGGAAGATATCCAAAAACAGATCGTACAAACTTTATAAAAAAGTTGCTGACACGAGAGATTCTTAGAAGTGAAAAACATACCATTATCTGAAACCAATGCTAGCAGTTTTTTCTCAAAATACATAAGAAATCTATTAAATTTTTTAAAGCATTCTTTTTACTACTTGGAGCATTGAGTACATATACAAACACAACCTATAATCTCCATAACAAAAAAGAAAACTATACTTCTTCTGATTTTCTCTGTAAGCATCATGAAGGTAAAATTACAGGTTATCTGAAATCACCAAAAACATACAAAATATTTGTTCCACATCACTGAAAAGAACATAAAAAAAGATGACAGAAAGCCATGGTTCACCTACAAAAACATTTAACCCAAACCTTTACTTACAGAGACGGGAAAAAATTCCACACTCTAACTGAAAACTAATTTTATCAAAGAATCACTCTGAAACTAGTTATCCGAAAAACCTAAACTCGTTGCTCCTAATGTTCATGTTTACACTTCCAACCTTTTAATTTTTAACACTCGTTCAAGACTCCTTTTAATTTTTAACACTTATTCAAGACTTCTTTTTAACACTCGTTCAAGACTCCTTATAATTTCTTCCATGCTACAGAAAACACAAACTTAAAAGCTCACCTACTGATTAAATTACTTAAACCAGGTACCATTCTAGCAATATGTCTCTACACTTTTTTCCAACATGTTGATATCCTAAGTGTCGGGTTAAAAATTCTTAGGATCCTGGGCACAGAGGGTTTTGCCTCCCCCCATACTTTCATTATAAGTATCCACATTTACAAATGTTGCATTAAACATTAATCCTTCCTGGACAGTACAGCACCACCTCCTGTAGGCACCTATCAAATGAAGGGAGGATATAACAACTGTGATGAGATTCTTGTAGAACAAAACTGTAAATTGTTAAGTATATATATATTTATTTCTTATTCATCTTTTAAATATTATAACAGATTTTTTGGGCATCTTTGAGCCCAATGCCATGCATTAATCTGACCCTGGATATCCTTCCTGTAGTAAAAAGACAAAAAACTACTCACAAGGAAGCCACAACAGAGTTTTACACAAGTTAAAATACATTTCTAATTCTTAAATATAAAATGACTATAAACTGAACCAAGAGTTCTATTTGATCGTTTTTTTGGGGGGGGGATAAAAGATGAAACAGGCATAAATGTACAAAAAACAACCTAAACTCTGGTTGATAACTTATACCGACTACCAATAACTTTGCTATAATTTGCTGTATCATTAAATTATCAAACGTTATAGGTTTTAATATTAAGAACTTATGATTATAAGAAACTCCAAATTAATTATGCTGAAGCATCTCTTATATATATATGTCAGACCACTTTGAAATAACCAAGATAGGAAGTGATTCATGATCTTAAAGCAGACAGCACAAAACTCTGAGAACTCTCACGATCTTCAGTTGATGTTAGTCAAATTTATTGCAACTAATGTTGTATATGTAACTTTCTCCTAAACAATATCAGAAAATGTAACACTAAGAAAATTTTCTTTTTATTTCAGAGATATACCTAAATGCATTTATACATAACCATCTTGTTGTTGTTCCTACATGACCATCTGATTGTTGCTCCTATATAACCATCTTGTTGTTGTTCCTACATAACCATCTTGTAGTTGCTCCTACATAACCATCTTGTAGTTGCTCCTACATAACCATCTTGTTGTTGTTCCTCAATAACCATCTGGATGTTGTTTCTACATAACCATCTGGTTGTTGTTCCTACATAACCATCTTGTAGTTGCTCCTACATAACCATCTGGTTGTTGTTCCTACATAACCATCTTGTAGTTGTTCCTACATAACCATCTTGTAGTTGCTCCTCAATAACCATCTTGTAGTTGCTCCTCAATAACCATCTTGTAGTTGTTCCATCCAAGAAATTTTTGTGGGTTAAGACAACTTCTTAGCTAAGTATCAGAACAAGTAGACAAAATTGACCTAAAAGACTTCAGAAAGTTTGGTAAGGTATCAAACAAGTTTTTTACAAGACTACATCTGTTGGGCAAGGAAATAAGCTAGTTAACTAGATTAACAGTTGGCTGAGTGGTAGAAGGTTGTTATAAATGGGGTGTAATCACAGTGATGTTACGAGTATTGTACGTTAAAGTTTTGTGCTAGGTCTTTTGCTATTTCTCATTTTCATTAATATGACACCAATAATGGATATACGTTTGTAGATAATATTAAATAAAAGGGTATTTTATGAGCTCAACTGATGCCTTTGGATCTTATTAAAAGTAAGGTTATGCATACTGATTATTGTAATATTAGTTATTCTTAGAGCCTTGTAAAGGAAACTGGTGAAACTTATAAATAAAAAGACCTGTAAGTAGCTGTTAGAGCCCTCTAGACGACATAGGTTAGCTAGTAATAAAGCAACAGGACTTTAAGTTGTATACATAGAAATAATCAGTGCAAGTCAAATGAGGTCATTAATTCACACTAGGAAGTGTTGGCTCAAATACTGTATTCAGTTTTGGCCACTTTATTCAAAAAAAGATGTTGAATTGTTGAAGAAGGTTTAGAGAAGAGCTATTGTGATGCCTCCACATGTGGAGGGGGTTATTAACATAACATTAAATGACAATAAGGGACCTGTTAGTCCATCTAGGCTGTCCTATCAACTAAATTAAACTAAACTCTACTATATAAAAAAACACCTCAAAGTCAGCTCTTGTTATTCAATTATTCATCAAGCTTTCCCTTAAACTCCCTTAAATTAACTGCATTCACCACATCTGAAGACAACATGTTCCAGAGGCCAACCACCCTGTTAGAAAAATAAAGTTGTCTTAGATGAAGATGACTTCTTTTCTGTCATGAAAAAAGATGATGCATCAACTCTATCAATTCCCTTAATAATCTTAAACACCTCAATCAGATCCCCTCTAACTCTTCTTTTTTTCAACAGAAGACAAATTCAGAGATCTTTTAACCTATTCTCATATGATAACATTTCCATCATAGTAGCACTCCTCTGAACCCTTTCTAACAATTCATTGTCCTTTCTGAGGTACAAATCCCAAGAATGAACACAATACTCCAAATGTGGCCTAACCAATAACTTACATCAATGATTCCCAAAGTGTAGTCAGCAGACCCCTGGTGATATGTGGGTTGGTCCAAAATGCAAGTCAAAAATGAGTTGTTGTTTTTTGTGTGGTTACAAGCAAAAATTGGTGGGTTGGGACTGGAAGGTGCTCTGTGGGGTCTTTTGTTCTGTGGAAGTGGTCTGGAGACAAAAAAAGTTGAGAATCACTGACCTATACAATTATATTATAACCTCTTCTGACATGTATCCAATATTTCTGCAGATACAACCTAAAATCCTCTGCCACTAGCAACAACACATTGCTTGGATGGCTTAAGAGACTAAAAAACCAGAACACCAAAATATTTTTCTTCCATAACACCGGTAAGTTTATTCCCATCAAAATTATACTTATAATTCAATTTTGATATTTCACATGCATTATCTTGTATGAGGATAGGTTGAAGCTTCTACAACTGTCAAAATTTTGGAATCCATAAACTCAGATATGTTTTCTTATAAGAAATTTGCTTACAGTAAGACTAATGGACAGAACTTTAAGATATGAGAAGAATCAGATATGACTTCAACATTAAAGAAGTTTAAAAGGAAATTAGATGAGTATTTTAAAGTCAACATTGGATATAAGTTTTTTTATGTGCCTTCGAGTAGGGTGATATCAAAAACTCAGGGAGCCTAGATGGGCCAAATGACTCCTTATGTTTGGAAATGAAATATGGGAGAGAGTAGCTACATCTTTTATATATTTACAATTTTAATATATGTCCCTATGAATAAAGGATAGCATTAAATAAAACATGTAATTCTAATAGTCTTATCTCTGCCACATTATTACAAGCTATATTAAGCCTCATCTATTATTTATACTACTTTATTTTTATAAAAAATCACCAAATATAAAGTTATTTACGAGTGATGTCAGAGCTCCAATGTTTTAAGAAACTAACAATATATGAATCTGGTAGATTTCATCAACACTTTAACATCAGACTGTAAAGTGTTTATCTCTTGATGTAATGAATTCTTTAAACCATACTATCTGACAATTATGTTGAAGTTGTGTAATAATACATGACATTGATGACATTCCCTCTCATGGCATCAAAAAACCATGCATATGGTATTATTACTATTAGTAATAATAATAATAACATCACAGATACAAACCTATCAAAATTGTTTAACAATTTAATAATCTTACAGTCTCCACCACCTTTTCCTATGCCTGATTCTTACTTATAAGTTATATTAAGTCAGTGACACACACACACACACAAAAAGACACATGAAACATACTGTTGGTGTGAATGTGCTTTGTAATTACTATGAGAAAAACCTATACACTGGATAGGTGAATTGAAGAAAAAGTGACTTTGGCTCTATTCAGTTCTTCATATTATAGAGCCGTAGAATAGCAGGTATAATGAATAAATTTAGTATTCCGAAAATTGTTTAATCTCAAAGTTTAAGTTCAAGTGAGGTCCAGTTCAATCTACACTTTGATCATGTGTTATTGGGTTATACTAGTTTTGGAGAATTCCACTCCTCATCAGTAACCCTGAACACCGGGCTTAGAGGGCGATGTATGGTATAATTGGAACAAACTGTTATTACTATTAGTAACACTTAACACAACACTGCCACTGACATTAACTTACTAACGCCAATAGTTAAACTTAAAGCTAACTATTTTGTAAGTTTATTACTACTACACTAGCCCTAAATTTCATTGTTCACAATTCTTTAACATATGCACTGTAATCTGTATATGCTTCTCAACTTACTGCTGCTTTGGATATAAGAGTAACTGAATCAGGACTGATGCTAGTAACATCGGGAGAACTTCTCATAATCATTCTGATTCGTGATGTTGGAAAAGAGCCATGTTTTGAAGCTTTACTCGAGCCTTCCATTTTTTGTATTCATTTAACGTGTTTTCTATGTTTGTTAAACTCGCCATCTAGTGAGTTTATATTATATTGTTGTTAAGATATATTAATATTTTAAAATATATTTTCCAATGTTAAATAGCTCAAGCTTGGTATCATATTTTCTTTCAGTATAAATTAGTTAAAAATAAGCATAATTTATTAATTGCTTGAAATATCGTTATTCACTGCCATATTAAATTTTCTTTCTATTGCAAAATAATTTTGAAAATTGATACATGTTAGTTCCTACCAATAATAGGAGTGAAATTTAGTATTATTTTAAGTTCATTTCCTAACTGAAAAATAATTGTTATTAGAAAAAAAACACAACTAATCATAATGTATGCGAAAGTGGACAGTTTATAAGCATGATCAAAAACACGTTAAGAATTTTAACTTTATCTATAGAATCTATACTGTTTATTCTTTCATTTTCGAAAAAACAACAACAACTCAGTGTATTGTATGCGAAAGTGGGTAGTTTATGAGCATGATTGAAAACACATTAAAAACGTTTATCTTTATTTATGGAATCTATACTGTTATCCCCCCAGTGGCACAGCGGTATGTCTGCGAACTTACAACGCTAGAATCAGGGTTTCGATACCCGTGGTGGGCAGAGCACAGATAGCCCATTGTGTAGCTTTGTGATTAATTACAAACAATCTATACTGTTTATTCTTTCATTTTCGAAAAAACAACTGAGCGTACTGTATGTAAGAATGGATAATTTGTGAGCATGGTTGAAAACACGTTAAAAACTCCCAGTTTTTATTCATAGAATCTTTTTTATTATTATTTAATTTTCCAAGTTTCTCATATACGCTTATGGTTTGAGTTCATTGGCCAATTCTGTGAATTACCTTCAGTAGACTACGACGTTACTTTTACTTGAGTTATTGATAATTTACTTCTTAAATAAAAAGTTTTATACCAAACGTTTAACTAAAGTGTCTTTACTACGAACTTTAGTATCAAATGGCTGAGCCAAATTTCTTTAAGCCCAAAAAGAAGAAACAGTTCTGAGTCAATGTTTAGACTCGAAATAGGGTTAAAATTTGTTTAGGTTCAGGAGTATAGGATTCACAATAGATTAGAATTCTCTGGTACTTAAGAACATTAATTAGCAAAACGGTCTTAGTCAGATGGTAGTTTGAGTTGTTAACTCAAATAAAGCTTATACTTGTGGAAATCGAAATACGTAGATTTTCGAAATCTGAAAGATGGTTCTACAAATTTTGCCAAAACACAATTTATGGATGAGTATGAAACTGAAAGAGTTGGGATGCTTATTTTTCATCTAAACAGCAGGCGAATCAGTTTTATTTCTTAACGTATATGTGAAAATGCATCTGGTTAGTTTCCTCATTAGCAAGATATTTCATGAAGATTTTACATTGCTGTTAGTTTTTTATCTTAGCAAAAATTATCTATAAAAGATATATTTCAACTGTTTTAATTGCTTGTTAAGAACATCTATGAACATTTTACAACGATAATCCAGTTAAGTGTTAGCAGCACATATCTATGTTTTATATCGCTAATCATTTACATTTTTATTTAAAAAATATATTGACTTGTCACTTTTTAGCGCAAAGCTACTCAATGGGCTACTCGCTAAATAACACATTTTCAACAGCCCCCACTTGTCTGATCGATTAGTGACATTTGAACGTTACCTTTATAACGCACACATAGCTCTAAAGTGCAGAGCACAATTTTTATCATTTATTTTATTTTGACAGTAACATGACGTGAATGTTGGAGCCAAAGATCCATTCTGGCACGCTAATTAGTGGGCCGCGCTTGACTAGATAGTTACCAAAGTATAATCATGACCAGCATAAGAGCGGAGCTATTGGGATGTGATATTATAATATTTTAATAACAGAAAGGGTAGCTAAAGAAGAAATTAAATATGTCGTCGTATTATGGCTTTAAGTCTGTAGGCTTACCGCTGTCCCATCGCAGGACGTTTGGTTATTGAAGTGACTTTTTGTGTTAACGAATGATATTTTTGACATGGAATACGAACACTTGTGAAATGCACAGCTTTATGTGATTAAGTGACCACTGTTTAGGCAATAAAGTATCTGAGTTTTTGTGGTGGTTGTAATAATAATAAGACAAGATAAACAATAGTCCAAGTTACTAGTCTAGTATACATACATGCTATAATGGAACAGTAATGTGTAGGTAATGAACTGACTATAAGTATTAGGTCGTCAAGAAATTAATGTCGCGGTTTGGAACACTTTCATTACTTCCCCCCCCCCCCAAGAAAAAAAACGTACATCACGTATGATACTTAAACGAACCGCCTAAACGTCACGTTAGTGTAACCTATATATAATGTGTAAAGTTTAGTATACTCTAATCCCTTTTAGTGATGGCACACGACAAGACATACATTCGGCATGTAATGCTATTTGAATACAAAAAGGGAAACAACGCCTCTGTAGCCACAAACAATATCAAATAAGTTTATGGAAATG